CGGGAGTCCTGCCCCCCCGCTCCCCACAACAGAAGCGTCTCAGCCTGGCAACTTCGGAATGCCGGGCACTGTTGCATCGCCGCCGGTTCTGCTGACGGATGGCCGGGATTCTCTCTGCTCTGAGAGCTGGCGCGTCCTTTTGCAAGGAGCCGCTCGCCCCTGCGTTTTGGCGCGCAGCCGGAAGGAGAGGGGGGCAGCGAGGCACAGAACATGGTAACGATCGAGTCGGGAGGGGAATGTTTTGATGTCATAGAGGTTTTGGGGAAGGGCACCTTTGGGGAAGTGGTGAGGAGCTGGTGGAGGAACACGGGGGAGATGGTGGCCATCAAAATCCTGAAGAACGACGCCTACCGGCGCCGGATCATTAAAAACGAGCTGAAGCTGCTGCAGACCATGCGGGACGTGGACTCGGAAGAGTCGCACATTATCCAGTTCCACCGGTTCTTCCACGACGAGGTCAAGTTCTACTTGGTCTTCGAGCTGTTGGAGCAGAACCTCTTTGACTTCCAGAAGGAGAACAACTTCTCCCCACTGCCGGCCAAGCACATCCGGACGGTCACCACCCAGGTGCTCAAAGCCCTGGCCAAGCTGAAGGAACTGTCCATCATCCACACGGATCTCAAGCCCGAGAACATCATGCTGGTGGACCAGATGAGGTTCCCTTTCCGAGTCAAAGTGATCGACTTCGGGTCAGCCAGCATCTTCAGCGAGGTGCGCTACGTCAAGGAGCCGTACATCCAATCCCGCTTCTACCGGGCCCCGGAGATCCTGCTGGGGCTGCCGTTCTGCGAGAAGGTGGACGTGTGGTCTTTGGGCTGCATCATGGCCGAACTGCACCTCGGCTGGCCCCTTTACCCTGGCAACAACGAGTACGACCAGATCCGGTACATCTGCGAGACCCAAGGGATGCCCAAGCCCAGCCTGCTCAACGTTGCCAGGAAAGCTCACCACTTCTTCAAGAGGAGCCAGCACGACGAGCTGGTCCCCCAGTGGCAGCTGAAATCCTCCTGCGAGTACTTGGCAGAGACCCAGGTGAAGTCGGTGGAGAGGAGGAAGTACGTCCTCAAGTCCCTGGAGCAGATGGAGTCGGTGAATGTCCACAAGATGATCTACCCCGACAACGAAGCCCTGGCTGAGCATTTCGACCTGCGGAGCATGGTGGAGCTGATCAAACGGATGCTGACCTGGGATTCGCACGAGAGGATCACGCCCAGCGCCGCCCTGAAGCACCCTTTCATCTCCATGCAGATGCTGAAGCTGAGTTACGAGCTCACCCAGTACTACCGGCTCGCCCTGCGCAGCTTCCAGAAATCCGCCAAGGAGAGCACGGACAAGGAGGAGGCGGCGCATTGCAGCGCCATGGAAGAGGACCCCTTCTACCCGGGCCAGGAGTACTTCAAGGAGGAGCAGCGTCTGCCCGGCCACTCCCGCGGCCCACGGAACCCAG